TTTTTGTTGCAGACTTGAGTTCAAAATGACATCAAGATTCTAAGGAATGAAGGAACTGAGGAAGACTACTTAAATAGCAATTGTAAACTATCTGCGGATCAAGTTGTAAAACTAATCAATATTAGTCGCAGTGAACAATGATTCGATGAAACTCAGAGATTATTGACTGAGTTATAAACTTATAATTAGCTAAATTAGTTGCAGTTAAAACTAATTGCTCAAGTAAAAACTAATTGTTTAAAATTAATTATAAATTTGTAATTAAACTTAAATTTGCTTATACAATCTCACAAGTATTTTCTTAAAATTAATTACAATTTTGCTATAAACTAATTGCAATGGAAATTAACTGTAATTAAAATTAAATTTGCTTATACATTACAGTCTCACGAGTATTTTCTTAAAATTAATTATAACTTTACAAGTTTGCTATAAATTAATTACAAGACTTGTAACTAATTTATTATACAAGTAGAAGAACTTAACTACAAACAAAAACAGTAATAATCAGAGAGAAAGTGTAAGAAAACGAAGCAGTAATAATTGACAAACAAATACCGGAGGGAGTTATTTCAGCTTACAACACCCGATGACTGTAGCAAGTTACCAAAAGAAAATTAGCATTAAAAAAGATGAGCAAAATAAAGGATTATGAACTTATTAAAAGAAAAAAGAGGAGAACAGTAATCAGAATAGAAGAGGTCGGGGAGGCGAGCTTAAAATAAAAAGAAAAAAGAGAAAAAAAGAAAGAAAACGAAGAAGAAAGAAGAGAAAAAAGAAAGAAAACGAAGGCGAGAAGACTCAGAAGAGAAGAACGGAAGAAGAGATACCTCGCTGGAGATTCACGAAGTCGAGATGACGAAGTCAAGGCGACGAAGAGGCGACGAAATCGAGGCGACGAAGAGCCGAAGATGTCGATACGACGAAGTCGAGGCGACGAAGTCAAGGCGACGAAGAGGCTTGAAGGTCAGGATCCACGAAGGTCCGAGGCAACGAAGTCGAGCCGGCGAAGATTCTTCGTCGCTGGAGAACAGCCGCCAGAGTGATTTAGGGCTTGAAGGTCAGGATCCACGAAGGTTAGGGTTTTCATTTTACTGTGAAACGGGTCGGGTTTTATATTTCAACATCGTAACTCAAACCACTGGCGATAACCGATAAAAAAACATCCGTTATCGGGCGATATTATCCGTTATCAGCGATTTATCGCCGATAATTTGTCAAAAACGCTAACCGACTACAAATTCACATTATCCTATCGGCAACCTTAGAAATCCGATATATCGCCGATATTATCCGATTTATCGCCGATATTTAAAACACTGCTTGCAAGACAGAGAGCACTTTAAAAGAAACAACCTTGTTGAGAATATTCGCCAACTGTTCTGAAGAGGGAGTAAATGGAGTGCAGATCAACTCCTTCGTTATAACATCCCTAATTAGATGATAGTTAATTGCTAAGTGTTTCGTCTATTCCTAAAAGATAGGATTCTTAGCAATGTAGATATCAGGCTGATTATCACAATGCACACGTATCGATCCTGGCTAAATAAAACCGAGCTTTGTCATTAAGTTCTTCAACCACATCGTCTCACAAGTAGTATGCGGCATCACTTCATACTCAGCTTCTGTACTAGACCGAGATACCACTTCTTGCTTCTTACTTCTCCAGGCTACTAGATTACCCCCAACAAAAGTTTAGTATCGAGTGGTAGACTTTCTATCCCCCTTATCTCCAACATAACTCGAGTCTGAATAAGCAGAGATTTATAAATGTCCATGTTTCTTGTACCGTAAGCTCTTTCTAAAAGAACTTTTGATATAGGCAAGAATTCTCATAGCTACTCTTCAGTGAACCTCTTTAAGCATATGCATGAATTGACTCAAAAGTCATACAGCAAAAGATATATGAGATGTAGTAACTGTAAGATAAATCAACTTGCCAATCAATCTTTTGTACTGATTGGTGTCCCTAAAAAGGTCATTTCTCATCCCAAAAGTCCACATCTGCTTCTATCGGGGTGCCGACAGGTTTGCAACCCAGAAGACTAGTCTCTACTAGAAGATCTAAGGCATACTTCCTTCGAGGGAGAAGTAATCTATGTTTCTAATAGTCAACTTTAGTCCTAAGAGAACATTTCGGCTTCGCCATATCTTTACTCACAAAATGATGTTTGAGATATTCTTTGGTTTCTGCCTGTAACATTCCAAATTTTTTTCCTTTCATTGATCGGATACCGTTACCGATACCAATCCATAAATTAGTAGATTCTTTTCTTCATTGCATCTCATATAATCTTCTAGTATGAGAATTTAAACTTAGCTAATTCTCATATTAATCTTCTAGTATGAGAATTTAAACTTAGCTAATTCTCATATTGTGATCTAGTTAACTAAGTCATAGCATACATGCAAACTTAGCATGTAAACCTAAGTTAACCATGCTTTAAACCTTGATTAGAGATAACTAAATCATTAAATACCTAATTTGAACACTCTAATTAACATAATTGTTTAATTTTGGTTAGCCATGTTAGTGGGAGTATTTTACATTTTAAATCCTCATCTTTGGCCAAATTGAAGATTTCTCTTCACATGGGCTTATATATATGTGCCCTCCATCTCTCATTTTGCCATTCTAAAGAGAAAAAAAAAACTCTCCAAACCCTCATCCCTATCCTTTGGCCAACCAAACCCTAGCCCCTCTCCTCTTGTAAAAAAATAGAAGAAAAATAAATAGATTCCATAAGCTCCAAACATTGAAGAAGAAGGAGAGGAGAAAGGAGTTAGTTGAGGATTTTGGAGGAGGAAGTGAAGCAAGTCTCAATACTAGGTATAATTCTCTTTTGCATGTTGTTATTAAGGACATTAGACTGAGATTATAAGATTTAATTTTGTTTTAGTCTTGCATGTAATATTTTAGGGCTTGCATGTCAATGTTATCTTGAAACAGAAATTTCGTGCAGAAATTTGCAGCAAGATACACTACCACTAAACAGATCATAACTTTTTTGTATATATCCAAATGAAGGAAATCTTTCTGTTCTAAAAACTACACTTTCGTGGCTTTCATTTGAGACCATTTTTGTTTAATTCTAAAATCATTTACTAGTTTGAAAGTATGGTTTAACTCAGTGCATGTGTCTGAAACTGTCTGCCTGAGTTATGTCCTTTGTAAAGAGCATATATCTCAACATATACCATGAATGCATAAAATTCTTTCTGTTATAGAAACTACACTTTCGTGGCTTTCATTTGAGACCCTGTTTGTTTAATTCTGAGATCATTTACTTGTTTGAAAATATAGTTTAACTCAGTGCATGTGTCTAAAACTATCTGCCTGAGTTATATCCTTTGTAAAGAGCATATATCTCAACATATGCAATGCATGCATAAACTTCTTTCTATTCCTAAAACTAGACTCAATTGTCTTTCTGTTGATGTAAGTTTTAATTAATTTGAGTAACGTTTGGTAAGTCTAAACCTAGTTCTAATACCTAGACTAGTTTCATGCATTTTGAACATCAATTGCTGTACCATCTATTCACCTAAATCTGCTGCATGTACACTACTTAGGTTGCTGTGCATATTAGAGATATTAGATGCAATCATCTAGGGTGTAGCTTATACCATGATATAAGTTTTAAGTTAAAGTTTTAAAAGACATAGTGTCTAGAATCTCATGTGGGTATACATGTATATATAGGACAGAGAATCTTGGATTCATTCGTTGGCCGAGAGGATCCCGACATAATCGGTAGGTAACCTTTCATTGTTTCCTCTCAAGTCTTTGAGAGTTCGATTGATTACTTTCTTGAAATTCCTGCGAGTTAGTTTCCCATGCTAATTGTATATCTTATCATTTTCATAATATTCCTATTTGATTCACCTCATGCATGGGCTCGTTGTTGATTGGTTAATCATTGCTATCCTAATGTTGTTTATTTCAGTTTTATACCTTCGATATCCTTGAATGATTTCATTGCAACAATTCGAATTGATTCGATGGTTCAATTATTGATAATGATAGTATTCCTCTCTTCGTTGATGATTGATTGTCTATATTCATGGATTATGCCCTGTGTGAAGTAAGCTTCACCGGTGGGTGGTAATGTTATAGTGTCCCGGTGGGACAATGCCCTGTGTGAGGACGCTCACCGGTGGGTGTATAAAGGCATGCGCGGTTTATTGATTATCCCATGATTGGGGAGTTTGGAATCCTGAATATTAGACCTTGATTATTCATCTTTACATGTTATTTCACTTCGGTCAATGATTACGATATAAGAATGGCAACTTAATGTTGAGACCCCGTTGTTCAAGTTTGATATCTATGTCTATCATTTTCATTCGTTCCCTGGATTGTACCCGAGATTTTTTATGGTTACCTATTGGGCCTTAGGCTCACCCCTATTGTTTCTGAATCCATTCGCAGGTCATTCAACTGGCAAGGATAAGGGCATTGCAGACCCTGAATTTGAATATTAGCTCCAGAGGAAAATCTTAATAGGGGTTAATTTATGTTCACTTTTGTAGTACCTTTGACTTATAAAACATGTATTAATGTTGTAGTCACTTCTATTATTGTAATATTTTATATTACCCTTTAGTTCTCTTCTATTTTGGTATTCTATGGACTCTACTGTCAACCTCGTGATCTTGGGTATTGTATATGCATCTCCACTGCTTTATTTTTCGACCTTCAGTATATCTATGTTGTGATGTGCATAAAGATTTAGCAGGTCGACCATTCTTATTACAGATAGGTCATGCTCAAAATTTTATGTACCTCCCAGAGGAGGGGCGTTACAGAGTGGTATCAGAGCACAGGTTGACACCTTAAGAGTCCTACATTGAAATACCTAGGGGACGTAGGGATCTTTCTAGTCGGTGTCAAACACCAGTCATGGAGGAATTAACTTTCCATGACATTCTTGTGATATCTAGATTTCTATTAGGTTGGTTTTGTACCATTGGAGGCTGATAGATGACTTTTGGCAGGAATGGCAGATTCAGATTCGAGTGTTTCTGAGATGGAAGGATCCATTAGTAGCAGGGAGGTGTGGTCAACACTTTCAGAGGATTGGGAGATCAGCTCTGAGGAGACTGACCTAGAGGAGATGTTTGGGGAGAGAGTGGATTACTCCCCGATTGGCTATCACACCCGTGGACGATTGGCAAAGAGGGACGAGGAGGAGGACCCTATAGAGGAGGACCCCGAGGAGGAGGACCCGATAGAGGAGGATCCCGAGGAGGAGGACCCAGAGGAGGACCTCGAGGATCCTATCGACGATGAGGAGCCCATGGAGTGGGAATTTGAGGTGGCACCAGAGCCTCTACTTGGTGAGATCCTAGAAGGAGATCCACTTGGTTGGGAGCTTGACCTAGATGAGGAGGATTAGGCATGGGCGGATGAGCCGATGGTGGAGGATCCTGCAGAGGACGATGAGCAGGAGGAGATCAGCCTCGACGGTAGTGAACCACAGCCGACTGAGGCCTCTGATACGGAATCTACTTCTAGCAGCCCTTCCACCTCTTCCTAGAGGTTGACCCATTGGGTCACTAAGCCTAGGAATCTTATTACTTTTGGCTTTTGGGTGGACACCCAAGTGTGGTGTATTTTGGGACTGCATACTTTTTATCTATATATTAGATATGGATTATTGTACTTTTGTAGAACTCTTGTATGGATGAATAGGTGTATGTTAATATTATCAATGAAAAGCTTTTGGAGAAATCAGTACTCTAAGTTGATTGTTGAAGTTCCTTATATATATTATGCGAGCAATGAAATATTTATGAGTGAAGTACTTTGAATAGTCTGTGGAATCTGAACTTTTGCTGCTACATTTTCATATAGATAATGGTGAGAACAAGAGCAAATCAGACCCAAAATGAGGAAGGCCAACACCTGGAACGATTGGCAGAGATCCTCGAGCAGCGTATCAATCCTAGAGGCAACCAACCAACACCTGCTATCTCAGCCCTAGAACAGTTTCGGAAGCTCACACCTCCATCTTTTTCGGGTACCACCGACCCTTTGGTGGCGGAGGATTGGATTTTACAAATGGAGAAGATTTTTACAGTCTTAAATTGTGCAGAGGAGCAAAAGGTGTCATTCGCCGCCTTCATGTTCACAGGGGAAGATGAACATTAGTGGATGGCAACCTTAAGATTAGAAAGGGCTGTCCAGAGACAGATTGATTGGGATAGATTTGTGGAGCTTATGAATAAGAAATATATCCCGGAGAGTGTTAGGGATCAGTGGGCTATTGAATTTCAAGGTTTGCAACAAAATAACATGACGGTCCAAGAGTATGAGGCTAAGTTTACTCAACTATCAATGTTTGCTCCACTTGATCGCTGAAGAATCAGATAAGGCCAAAAAGTTTCAAAGGGGGCTCAGGGGAAATATCAGAGGGAAACTAGTGGCCCTCAAAATCAGGAACTATGCAGAACTGGTGGAGACTGTGTTTGAAATTGAGAAAGACCAACTGGAGTATCAGGAGATCCGCAATAAGAAGCAGAGTTCAGTTAAAAGCCCACGATCAGAAGGAGGTCCCACAACCGATAAGTCAGCATCGAATTAGCCCGGGAGGTCAGCGACAGCAAAATTTCCCTTTCGTCGTGATCAAGCAAATCAGCCAAATAAGTCAGCAGCCTGCCCTAGATGTGGCAATCATCAATCTGGATATTGCAGACTTCACCGTGCATGTTTCGAGTGTGGTCAACCTGGGCACTTCAAGAGAGATTGTCCAACCTTGAAGAATCAAGCAATAACAGAGCGAGCACCAAGAGGAGATCACGCAGCTCGAACTAATGCCTCACAACAATCAAATGCTCCCCAGCGGAAGGCTCAATCCAACCAGAGTGTGTAGCAGAACCAAAGGAACCAAGGAAGAGTTTTTGCTCTGACAAGGAAGGATGCACAAGCATCACCATCTGTGGTGGAAGGTACAGTTCCCGTATGTTCATTCACCGCTCATGCACTTTTCGACCCTGGATCTACACACTCTTTTGTATCACCTCACTTTGCTAGGAATTTTCCCAATTCACCGACACTATTAAGTAGTGAGATAATTGTGTCCACACCTATGAGTGGTAGTCTCCTAGCAACATATGTTTATGAGAATTATGGAGTTTTAGTGAGTGATCATGTCATGAATGCAGACCTTGTATGCCTAGACATGTCAGATTTTGATGTTATCCTAGGAATGGATTGGTTAGCATCTCATCATGCAATTATAGACTGTTTGAGAAAACTGATAAAGTTTAAACCACAAGCGGAGGCGAGTTTTGTTTTCCAAGGGGAAAGTAGAAGACCACTCGCGCACCTAATCTCATTTATGAAGGCTAATAAATTGTTGAGGCAAGGTTGTAGTGGATATTTAGCTTGTGTGATAAGTGACCAATTGAATGAGAAAAAGCTTTCAGATATACTTGTTGTAAGAGATTACCCGGATGTCTTTCCAGAAGATTTGTCAGGATTGCCTCTAGATCGGGAGATAGAGTTTGCCATAGACTTGGTCCCAGGGACCACTCCTATATCTAAAGCCCATTATAGATTGGCGCCAGTTGAGATGAAGGAACTAAAGGAACAACTTCAAGAGTTATTGGATAAAGGATTAATTAGACCCAGCGTGTCTCCATGGGGAGCACTGGTCTTATTTGTGAAAAAGAAAGATGGGAGTATGAGACTCTGTATAGATTATAGGGAGTTGAATAAATTGACCATTAAGAATAAGTATCCACTCCCAATGATAGATGATCTATTTGATCAGCTTCAAGGAGCTCAATATTTTTCCAAAATTGATTTAAGATCAGGATACCATCAGTTAAAGATTAAGCCTGAGGACGTAGCAAAAAACAACATTCAGGACTCGCAACAGTCACTATGAATTTTTAGTGATGCCTTTTGGACTGACTAATGCGCCGGCCGCATTCATGGATCTGATGAATCAGATATTCAAACAATATTTGGATCAATTTGTGGTGGTTTTCATTGATGACATATTGATCTATTCTAAGAGTTACCAAGAACATGAAGAACATTTGAAAATTGTATTGCAAATCCTAAGAGAGCAACAGTTATACGCAAAGTTTAAGAAGTGTGAATTCTGGCTAGAAAAGATGATGTTTTTAGGCCATGTGATCACTAGAGATGGGATATCCGTGGATCCAGCGAAGGTTGAAGCTGTCGTGAACAGGCCGCGTCCTATCTAAGTGGCTGAGATTCGTAGCTTTTTGGGACTAGCAGGATATTATAGAAGATTTGTTAAAGACTTCTCCCAATTAGCAGCCCCTTTAACTTATTTGACTCGTAAGAATGTCAAGTATAATTGGAGTGAGAAATGCGAAGAGCATTTTCAGGAGTTGAAGAAACGGTTGGTAACCGCTCCCATCCTCACTATCCCTACGAGTTCAGATAAGTTTGTGATATTTAGTGATGCATCTTCTAGAGGTTTAGGTTGTGTTCTAATGCAGAATGAGAAGGTAGTGGCTTATGCCTCCAGGCAATTGAGACCTCATGAGAAGAATTACCCCACTCATGATCTGGAATTGGCTGCTGTGATTTTTGCCCTGAAGATATGGAGACACTATCTATATGGGGTATTATGTGATATTTATACAGATCACAAGAGCCTAAAGTATATATTTACCCAGAAGGAGATTAACATGAGGCAAAGAAGGTGGTTGGAATTGCTGAAAGACTACGATGTAAAAATTCTTTACCATCCAGGTAAAGCGAATGTAGTAGCAGATGCACTTAGTCGGAAGAATCATATTACATCAGCTTGTTTGATAACTAAACAAGCCGAGTTAAGTAAGGAGCTTGAGAGAATGGAGATTGAAGTTAGAAAGTATTCTTCTGGAATGAAGATTTGTCAGATAAGCCTACAACCTACTCTGTTGGACCAAATCAAGGAGCGACAGAAGGAAGACAAGGAACTAAGTGAGATAAGAAAGAAGGTGGAACAAGGAAAATATTCAGACTTTAAGATTCAAGATGGTGTTTTGAAGATGGGTAATCGCCTTTGTGTACCCAATGATGGAGAGCTTAATGATCAGATATTGAGAGAAGCTCACCAGACCCTATATGCTCTTCATCCGGGTAGCACTAAGATGTATCAGAACCTCCGACAAAACTTCTGGTGGAACCGCATGAAGGAGGAGATAGCTGAATTTGTATCAAAATGTTTAACATGCCAACAGGTGAAGATTGAACATCAGAAACCATCAGGACTATTACAACCTTTGCCCATTCCAGAATGGAAATGGGATCACATCACCATGGATTTTGTTACTGGACTACCCCGATCAACAAAAGGAGAGGATGCCATATGGGTGGTAGTTGACCGCCTGACCAAGTCAGCGCACTTCATACCCTACAGGATGTCGTATACCATGGAAAAGTTGACCAGCTTATACATTGAAGAGATCGTGAAGCTCCACGGGATTCCCATATCCATTGTATCAGATTGAGACCCCTGTTTCACCTCAAGATTTTGGAAGAGCCTACATCAAGCTTTGGGGACTAAACTGAAGTTCAGCACTTTAGCACATCCTCAAACTGATGGACAATCTGAGAGAACGATACAGACCCTGGAGGACATGCTGAGAGCTTGCACCTTAGATTTTGGAGGCAATTGGGCTACACATTTGCCGCTAGTAGAGTTCGCCTACAATAATAGCTTTCATTCTAGCATTGGCATGACACCTTATGAACCTACAATAATAGCTTTCATTCTAGCATTGGCATGACACCTTATGAAGCCCTATATGGGAGGCGATGTATATCCTCTATCTATTGGGAAGAGACCGGTGATCGTCGACTACTCGGACCAGACGTAATCCAGGAGATGACTGAGAAGATCCAAACTATTCGGAAACATATGCAGATGGCCCAAAGCAGGCAAAAGAGCTATGCAGATCGTCGACGCAAGGACCTAGAATTCCAGGTTAGTGATCATGTGTTTCTAAAGGCTACACCAATGAAAGGAATAACAAGAGGTGGCAAGAAATGCAAACTCCGTCCGAGATACCTTGGGCCATTCGAAATTTTGGAGAAGATCGGACATGTAGCCTACCGGCTAGCCTTGCCCCCAGAATTGGAGAAGATTCATAACATGTTCCACGTCTCAAACCTGAAAAAGTACGTACCAGACCCCAGACACATCATTTCGCACCAAGCATTGCCCCTGCGGGAGGATCTATCTTATGAAGAACGACCGGTTCGAGTGCTAGGCTTTAAGGAGAAGCAGCTGAGAAACAAATCCATATTGCTGGTAAAAGTTTTATGGAATAATCGAGGCGTTGAGGAGGCTACATGGGAACTAGAATCTGAGATGCGAAAAATATATCCACATTTATTTTGAGGGTACGTAAAAATTTCGGGGACGAA